ATCCCCCTCTCTCTCACACAACACACACTCACCTTTAACTTCTCTCCTCTCTCACACACATCGCACAATCAGATTTAGATACAGAAAAATACACACACATTCACAGATTCTCAAAATATACACACACAAATTGAGTCGGCAGGCAACCATTATTACCGGTGATGTGCAGCCCCAAACCGCCGTCATCGTCTCCATGGACCGCCGCCACCATCTTCTCCGACGGTCCCTGCGTCCAACATTCGAGCCAGGCCGACAGACGGAGGCGAGTAGACGCGGCGGCGAGACGTCGAGTCGGCTGACAGGGACAATGCGACGGCGGCGGACGGAAGGGAGACGTCTCGACGGCAGACGGAGGTCGACCCGATTTATCCGATTGGTCGTCTCCTTCAGGCAGATCTCGGTTCCGGTGGTGACTGCGTCTTGCGTGTGGGTCGAGGGGCGGCAGTGCGCCGACTGAAAGGTCGGCCGGAAAAAGAAAAATTAATGGCAGAGGAGTTCATTGGTTGCAGAAAAAAGACTGAAAATGGACTTTGGGTGTTTGGTTTGAAAATTAGATAGCCTATAGGGGCCATTTTGCAATTTTAAAAAACTTTGATTATGAGGCAATATAATTATTGATTATGAGGCAATATACTTATTGATTAATATGTAATTTACTAAAAAAATCAAGTAAATATGGATTATTGATAAATAGCTTGTGGTTATTCAATATTTTTTTCAAAAAGTTTATTTATTTATTTTTTTTTTTTTGGTATAAAGAAGGTGGCCTTAGGCCTACATGAGGACTCGGCGGAAGTATGACACCTCAATTATATCATGCTCCAACCACGCTCCCATTCCCGAAGGAGGGGAGACTACACGTTGTAGCCCAAGTGGGGTAGAAGATGCCAGGTTCGCCAAGAAATCCGCTGCGTAATTTGCTTCCCTATGTATATGTTGGATTCGGATGGTCCAATCAAGCTGGATAATCTTCTGAATTGCCTTTACCATCGATATATGGGTCCCACCAATAGCTTTTGGATTGTCGATCATCTTCGTCACGCATTGGCTGTCGACCTCAGCAATCACCGGCGGTATTCTCTCTCCCACGCCAATTGCAAACCTTTGTAAAGACCTCAAAGTTCCGCTCCTGTAATCGTGCAATGCCCGATGTTCAAGCAAAAGCCCTCGATCCATCTGCCCATCTCATCCCGAATCAGCCCCCCCGCTGCGCTCAACCCCGTACGAGAGTCAAAGGCACCATCTGTATTTATTTTCCCAACCCGGCTCTGGTGGGACCCACCTAATCAGCCGTGTCACATGCTTAACAGCTCCAACCCTCGCAAAATCCATTTCAGCCCGTGAATAGCTCTCAGCCCGTCTCAAAACCTCATTAATTTTCGCCCCAATAGAGCTAGATTTTTGCTGGAATACTCGCTCGTTCCTCCAGGTCCAGGCGCGCCACACAACCATCGCGAACAGAGTACTCCAATTCGTTCGCTTACCCACGCTGATTCTCCCCAAATTTTTTTCGCATCCAAATTATTAGGGGCTGGTGGAAAAAGCTGCCATCTTGACCGGCCGGCAGCAGGCGGCCCCAAACATGATAGACCGTTGGGCAATCTCGGAGTACGTGGATAATCGTTTCACTCGCCCCGCATAGATCACAGCTCTCGGAAGCCGAAATATGACGTCGCATTCTCTCGCGGTTGGTAAGCAGACGCTCCCATGCAGCCAACTATAAGAACATTCTAACTCTTTGCGGCACGGGGACCCGCCAAATTATCTTCCATAAGGGTTGGTCAGGATCTTTCTCCATGCGGGATAAGGCCTTATAAGCAGACTTTGTCGAGAAACGACCATCATCCGAATGGCCCCAGATAATGCGATCCTCCCCCGCCGAGCTGCACGGGGGAAGGGTGCCCGCGACTGTCGAGGGAAGCACGCCATGGAAGCACTCCCATTTCCATCTCCCATATTCATCTACTAAATCCGCCACCTTCGAGTTTAAGTGCATTAGAGGCGAGAATTGAGTCATATACCGGATCAGCGGTTCGGGAGTACCAAGCCATTTATCGAGCCAGAAACGGGCTGTTTCACCGTTTCCTATAACCCAACTTATTCCAGACACCACGTGGGGCCAGACTTTACTAATAGCACGCACTACATCTGAACCTTGTCTCCAATTAACTGCACCCAGATCATCTGAGAGATTAATGTACTTAGCCTTTATAACTCGCACTCATAGGGCGTTCGAATTCGTCAACAACTCCCAACCCATCTTCATGAGCAGCGCCTCATTCATACAACGGAGATCTTTTATTCCCAACCCTCCGGCATCTCTAGACTTGCATACATCCTTCCAGGCAACAAGGTGTATTTTTCGTCGTCCTTCTGACCTGCCCCACACAAATGCACGACTCCTCCTCTCGATCCCATCTTTAATTGTACACGGGAGGATTGTCGACTGCATGGAGTAGTAAGGTAAGGTGCTGAGTACTGATTCGGTGAGAGTCACCCTTCCCGCCAAGGAGAGCGACTTCATGCGCCATCCGACTAATCTTGACTCCGCCTTTTCTAAAATATGGTTATAGGTCTCTTTGGTCACTCGCCCGTGAATAACTAGGATACCTAGGTATTTGTCCAAATTATCTGTTAACTTGAAGTTGAGAAGTCGAGCCAAGCGATGTCGCTTCTGGTCCTCCACATTTTTAGAGAAGAAGACTTGCGTCTTCTCCGAACTCACTTTTAGTCCCGACCGGAGGCAAAAGTCATCGAGCACGTTCTTTAACACCAAGGCCTGATCATCTGAGGCCACCAAAAAAAGGAGCAAGTCGTCAGCGAACATATGGAATGGCACTTCTACAGCCCCTCTTCCAACTAAAATCGGGCGCCACTCTCGTGCATTGACTGACTGGCATATATGCTGTGCGAGCCTCTCCATGCAAAGCACAAAGAGATAAGGTGAGATTGGGTCTCCCTGCCGGACTCCTCTAGCCGGCCGGAATTCCTCACCCAACACTCCATTCCACAACAACTTCATCGAGGCTGGCATAACTCAGTGCACAATAATGATAAATAAACTACACAATAGCGTGTGTGTATATGCACAATTGTGTTCACCGATTGACATTTTAACATTTTCATTTCATAATTTATATATTTACTTACTATGTATATATTGGTCGAAATAACTGGATTATAAAAAATAGAAAACATATAAACATATTGAAACATGAAAAAATTGAACCAAAAAATTTATTTTGGTCGATTTGTTGTTGTGCAGTCCTATAGTCGTTAATTTGCAATTTATCTTATACTATTGTGCACGGTTTCTATCGCTATTATGTTGTTTGAATCGATAGAAATTTTGTCACAAACCAAGCAAAATTATTTGATTTACTCGGTTAGTTAACCAAATTATCTTAATTAAAACATCATACATTTATATTAAAAACACATTTAGTATTTTAGTAATTTAATTTATTATGTTTTATATTATTATCGATTGTAAAACATAATATTCAAAATACCGAAATCAATAATGTGCACTCTCACTTTTTTTTCCAACGACATCAACACTCATATTAATAGACCAACGGCCGAAAAAATTACAAAGTCCCAAAATAAAGCCTACATAATGGGAGGTTACATAATCCAAACGCAACCTAATCGAAACATACATGTCCAAACAAGCCCCTGACGAACAGCAACAAGAACAGAAAACGAATGCCATAAACATAACAACCATCTCTAACCATAAACACAAATACAGACATACCACTGACACTAGACCTGTACGTCCCTATCTGCCCCGATTAGATCTCTTGGAAATCTCTCCAATCCTGCATTGCACTGTCCACTAATCTCTTTGCTGTCATTTCTTTGTTGTCAAACACCCACAGATTCCTCGCTTTCCACAGCCACCATAAAATATACGTGGTAAGTTGAATTCTATCTTCAAAAATCTCCTTATAGTCAATAGAACTCAACCACCACCACCAGTCCTGGAAAGTGTTGTCCTCGTCTGCCGGTTTCTCCCAAAGAACAGGTGCCAACCTCCATGTCATTTGAGCTTTGGAACACAAGAACAAAGCATGCATCACTGTTTCTTCCATTTCCCCACAGCCTTTGCAGATAAGCTCCACATCCAAACCCCTCTTGATCAAATTGCAATTAACAGGCAAGATATTGAAAAAACATCTCCATATAAAATGCCTCACTTTGCCTGCTACCTTTAGATTCTAACACCTCAATCTAGCTCTTTTGTTGAACTGAGCCAATCTGCTAGTTTCAGCTCCCTGATATCTGCTCCACTCAGCCCTACAAAGCTCCTCATAAGCATTTTTAACAGAAAAATTTCCTTTGTCAACAAAGGTGCATTGCCTCACATCTGCAGAACTAGGATTAAGTGTGTTAATGGCCAGAATTTTGTCAGCCACATCATTCTGGTATAAAATTCTAACCAGCACTTCATCCCACTCCTCTCCATTATTCAACAATAAGTCCTTCACTCTGAATTGGTTACCATCCACCTGCACTCTTAGTTCAGGCTTTTGCCCTTTCATTTGAGGAATCCAACAGAACTCATTAAGCTTTGTCTCTTTCCCATCCTTAATAATTATGCTCAGATGGTTTTTCAGCCATGGGATAAAAGCTGCCCAGGAGTTCCATAACCATGAAGCTTTTGATTTCTTGTTATAATAAAAAATAGAGCAAGAAGGGAAATACCTGGCCTTTAACACTTTACAAACAAGCAGTTCAGGCTTCTCACAGATCCTTCACAGCTGCTTAATGATCAGAGCCTTATTAAATAGCTTAATATTCTGAAATCCCAGCCCTCCATTCTCCTTTGACCATGTCATTTTATCCCAAGCCAGCCAGTATACTCCTTTAGTTTTACCTTCCCCTTTCTTCCACCAAAACTCAGCTAACACTCTGTAAATCTCCTTGTATATCCCCACAGGCAACACAAAACAGGACATAACAAAGATTGGGTGGGCAATAAGAACTGCCTTCACCATCACTTCTTTCCCAGCAGTAGATAGTAGGTGATTCTTCCAGCTGCTAATTCTAGTTCTGACTGTGTCAACCACAAACTGGAAAGCTTCATGCTTGGATGCTCCAATCCTTAGAGAAAGCCCTAGGTACCTGGTTGACCTCTTAACCATCACCCCAGACAAAATGGAACAGATCTTCTCCTTCACATCCACCGAGCAATTTCTACTCAAAAACATAGATGATTTGTTAAGGTTCACTTTCTGACCTGCAAACTTCTGGTACCTTTGAAGCATATCCATGATCAATTCAGCATGATGCTCATCAGCTTTGCAAAACAGCAGTGCATCATCAACAAACAAGAGATGAGTGATCATAGGGCACTCTTTTGCCACTTTAATACCCCTGAAGAGACCCTGCTGGACATTATGAGCAATCACTGATGAAAACAACTCAGAAACCAAAAGGAACAGATAGGGTGAAAGAGGATCACCCTGTCTAATTCCTCTAGTTGGTGTGATAAAACCTCTAACACTGCCATTTAGATTAAAAGAGAATGATGAAGTAGAGACACAAGCCATTATCCATCGGATAAATTTGCTATGAAAGCCCATCTTCTTCATAGTCAACCTTATGCAGTTCCACTCCACACGATCATATGCCTTCTCCATGTCAACTTTCAGTGCTAAAAACACATTTTTCCCAGACTTGTGCATGTTCAGAAAGTGAAATATCTCCTGAGTAATCACCACATTGTCAAGGAGCTGTCTCTCCGGTACAAAGGCAGTTTGAGCTGCACTAATGCAACCATCCAGGCAACCTTTAAGTCTCTCTGCCAAAACTTTAGATACAATCTTGTATAACACCCGACAAAGACTTATGGTCTATAGTTGCTTAACTGCTCATGATACAGACATTTTGGAATCAAAAATATCACCGAATGATTCCAATTTCTCAGCATAGTACCTGATTGGAAAAAGTCAGTCACTGCCTTGCAAATATCTGTCTTCACCAGGTGCCAGAAATGTTGGAAAAATTTTGCAGGCATGCCATCCTCCCCCGGAGATTTCTCAGGATCCATATTGAATAGAGCATCATGAATTTCCTTTTCACTCACCCGTCTGATGAGATCATTGTTGGTGCTATCCGAGATACTCTGAGAAATGTGACTGAGAAGGTCCTCACCCCTGCCTGACCCCTCTGATTTGAACAGTTAGGAATAAAAGCTGACAATGTAATCTTCAAGTTTTTGCTTCTCCTCAATGACCTCTCCAGACCCAGACAACAGCCTCTGAATAGCATTACTTTTTCTCCTTTGCGCAGCAAAGGCATGAAAGAAACGAGTGTTTTTATCCCCTGCTTTTAGCCAAAGGGCCCTGGACTTAGCCCTCCAGTATTGCTCTTCTTCCATAAAGGCCTTATCTAGGTCAAATTTGGTGGCACTCCAGTCAGCCCAATTCACATTTTTTGTGTACAAATTATTCTTTTTACCGAGTACCGAATCGAAAGATTCGTTCCCCGGGTCAATCTCACGAGGAAGGCGGTTCGGAATTCAGCTTTGGTATTGACAACACATAAAAGCAAAATAAATCCTAAACATTCTAATCAAATAGGGGATGGAAGAATAATTATCAAATAAGAAATGAATAACTATGCAAAAATGTAAATCTACCTAAGAATATGAATGAAACGAGGATGGAGAAGCTAGGGAATTGGGGATAATGCATTCAAGTTCTAGCAAAACCGGGCAATTCATTGTTCGGTACGAGATTGAAACTCTCGCTTAGACATCCAGCGGTTCGCTCCCAATAACTCTTCGTAACAAGGGATTGAACATAGACGAACAAGTTCGAGCATACAACACAGGTCAATTATCCCAATCCCAATAACTTTTCGTAACAAGGGAAGGGTCATTGACAAGTGCATATTTCAATCTATAACACGTAGATTAGTCAATTACGACATCGTCTACCTCATGTGAGCCAAAGTCTACGACTTCTCCCCTTTCGGTTCAAAAAGTCGCTAATTTAACCAGAAGAGTATTAATCGACTAATCACATAGAATCAATGAAACCTAACTCGACTAATCAACATCCAATTGTCACCAATTGCAAGATCGAAGTATCACTCTTCGATTATATCAATCAATCAAGCAAGAATATATAAATCCCTAATCGAAACAACTCACATAAGAAAGAACAATTTCAAGCCCGAGAGATGCACGTTAAACAAGAACAATCATTCTCCTATCCCTAGCACACAAGATCAGCTATGAATCATGAATTCAACACGATAAATCGATTCTCCTAATTTAATCATTGTTCATGAATTAAAAAAAAAAAGAGAAAAGCTTACAATTATTCCAATCCAAGTTCGAATGTTGAAGTCGAGATACAAGCTTAATCCGAAAAAGAAGAAAAAAAATGGAAAATAAAAATGAAAAGAAGAAGGAAGATCGAGAAGAAGGAGAGAGGAGAAGGAGAAGAGAGGAGTTCGTGAATTTTCTCCGGCCCTAGGGCTTTCGCCCCAGTCGAGCGTCGAAAAAAAAATATGCCCCCGAACATCCCAAAATCTGCTACTTTAAAAACCTGATTTCGTGCGCCTCGTGGCCGCGGAGAGGCACGCAAGCCGCGGTGAAGGCGAGCTCCACGGCCGCGAGATTATCCGAGGCCGCGAGTTTCCGTGTCTGAAGTTGGGCGTGCTGGGAGGTTTTGGTCACCGCGGCCGCGGCGAAGGAAGAGTCGCGGCCGCGACTTGAAGTCTAGGCGCGTGTGATGGGTCTCCTCCTAGATCTGGAGTGAACCGGTGGAAATGAGCTCCGGTCTGTTCGAATCGTCTCCAAGTCGCCCGTGGACCGCTGCGAACACCTGCAAGAACTCAACACCGGAAGTGTTTTCCGGTGAAGAGCCTCCAACGCTCAAGTCAGTGAATGAGGAGGAGAGGAGCTCTGCTCAGTAGGAGCAGCAGCTGAATAATGAATGAGGAGAATAATAGTTAGGGTTTGGAGTCACCTCTACTCCTTTATATAAGGGTAGAAATGCTCACTGGAAATACCTGAAATGCCTAGCCGACTTACATGAAGTGTCCAAAATGCCCTGGTCGCTTTACATTCTGCCCACTCTCTGAGTCAGCACCTAGATTCCTTCTTATCTCGTATAGATTCTCTAGCTCAGGAAACCCTGCTTCGATATTGAGGTAAATGTGAGTCGCCAGAAGTACTCTAAGTCGATTCGGAGCCTTGTCGAGTCGACTTATGGTCCTGTTAGTATATCTGAGGTTCTTAGAATGTTCATTCGCCTTCTAGCGTGTCGACTTAGACCAAGTCGACTTCCTAAAGTCGTCTTTTGATCGTCCTTAGACCAGTAGTGATCCTTATATGATTGATAGGCCATGTTGACTTTGGAGGTATCGTCTTGATGATATTCTTGGCAGCGTGAGTCGAGTGACTAACGCTTGAATCGGGCTATGACAATAGGGCTATATCAGCGTGCTTGTTAGCTTTCGTGCACGATTTCACGTCACGGGCTCGTCTACGTTCGTCTGGCAATGGAATTTGATTCTGTTTTCTTCTACTTGTTGCCAACGAAATCTTCAATATAATTCAGTCCTCCCGAGGCTTTCAACTTGCACACCAAAAACAAAAGAAAAACCAAAAAACACACGAAAAACACGAAGAAAACCAAAATAGAGCAAAACAAGAAATAAACTATAAAATGAACTAAAACTCAATTAAACGACCTAAATGGGGGAAAAATAACGACAAAAAGATAACAAAAAGCGCAACAAAAATGGGACAAACAACATTACCACCATCAGCTCTCATCACTTCCATTTTAGCTGTAAGAGTTTGAATCAGTTTCTCATTATTCCTCTTGATGGGGTTGTACCATGACAATATGGCCCTTCTGGTGAATTTTACCTTCTGGTGTACTTTAAACATATCAGAGCCCTCACATTCTCCACCCCACCCTTCCTCCACTGCCTCCTCAATACCCTCCAATTTCACCCAGTTCTTATCAAATATGAATCTCTTCCTTGCAGGTCTCTGCTCCACTTCAGTATCATATAGTATAACATTGTGATCAGAAGCACACCTGTAAAAGTTAGACACCTCCATCTTAGGGAATCTCTGCAGCCACTCATGGGAAGTAAAAACTTTATCCAATCTTTCCTCTACATATCCATTCCCCCTTCTGTTGTTCCCCCATGTGAAAAATGCACCTTTCTGAATTTGCTCATACATATCCATTCCCATAATGAAATCCCTGAATGGTAAAAAGCTAGCCTCAGCTCTGACTCTCCCACCCTTTTTTTCCTCATTAGAAAAAATGTGGTTCCAATCCCCTGCAATAGCCCAACAATTCCCCCAATCACTCTTCTTCTCCAGCAAAAATTCCCACTGTCTGACCCTACTGCTCCTCTCAGAACTCATGTACACAAAGATCAACCAACACCAGTCAGACAAACCCATTCCTCTCACTTCCATTTGAATGCAAAACCCATTACTGACCATTCTCCTAACTTCAACTGACTGATCCCACATAACAAGAAGACATCCTTTACTCCCCTCAGGTTCAACCAAATGCCAACTGTTAATAAACCCCAACTTATTACACACCGTACTAGTAAATTTTTTGTTTTTTTTTTGTTTCAGAAAAAAAATAATATGAGGATGGTGGATTCTTCTGGAATCCTTGATTTGGGAAACTGTAGAGGGCCCACCCAGCCCTCTAAAATTCCACACAATAACCTTCATTGGTCACCTTGGGGCCACTCAAGGCTGGCCTTCTCCACCTTTTCAGCAGCAAGCTTAGTTCTCTTCCCTATTTGTTCCTCCTCCAAGTTTTGATATTCCACCAGTTGAAGTTGTTGCTCCCCACTTCTCTCCCTTTTCCCTCCAACTGCAGTTTGAAAAACCTCATGAGGTAAAGGATTTCTCATCAATCTACCAAGCCTCGCAGATGATCTTCTCCAAGTTTTCCTACTCTCAGGCATATGAACCTCAGAGCTTTCACCACCTTCACCCACGCAAGCATTCTCAGCAATCACCATAATATCCCCATTACCACTTGCAGCCTCCCTTATCACTTCCTCCACTATCTCCTCCACTACTCCTTGACAATGCACCAATGGAGAAACCACAATATCAAGAAGATTTCCCCCCTCCATATCATCTGGAATGAGAGAAACAGAAGATCCCCCTTCCCTATTATCCCCTTTCTCCGACTGCACCTGCTGTCTGGAAGTACTTGCATCTGCATTGGAGTCTTTCTTAGGATTTGTCTGGCGAGAGCACTCTTTAGGGTCAGAACCACTAGCATAAGATTGTCTATATCCATACAAACTATCACCCGCTTTTAGCCAATCACCAAACTGCCCATCCTGCAAACATCGATTCCCAATGTCTATAAGCCGCAATTCACAATTTCTATCAAGATGTCCAATGCACCCGCAATAATAGCACAGATTCACCAATCTTTCGTATTTGAATTGCACCATCACTTGCTGATCTTCCAGTTTCACCAACGTGCAGCGCGACAGGGGCTCCTTTGAATTAATGGTTGCCAACAATTTAATATAGAAACCTTCTTCTCCCCCCCAGTCTGCAGATTGTTACATTTTTTACCCCATCAAACACTTCCCCAATTTTCAGGCCAACTTCACAGCTCATCCAATTAAAGGGAACATTTAAAACATGAACCCATAAATTAACCAGGTCGAAACTTCTGTGCTTGCTGGTAAGCCCCCTTTGCCATTCCCTCAACACAAGGTATTGGTTCTCGAACAACCAGCTATGGCCGGCCGCCACTCTCTTCCTGTCTTCTTCAGAAAAAAATATGAATTGGAAAAAATTTGTTTCCAATTCCCTAACCTCGAGTCTTGGGTGAAGACGCCATATCGAGCCCATAGCTCTCTTAATCCCCAGCATAGACGCCTTTCTATCCCCAATGACTTTGCCAAAAAGTCTTTTACTGCACTCCTACTCTGTCGACACTATATCTCTCTGCTGAATTTCAACCCCACCCAATTCTTTCGACGATAACGAAAATTTTTGAAGTTTTTTCGTAACCTCGTCTCCCAAATCCCCCAATTCAGCCATAGATCAACAACACGAAACACCGTAACATGAGCTCAATCGATTGATAACCTTCACCAAAGGAATGAATCTACCCCCAAAATAATGTGCACTCTCAAATGCACAAATATGCATTTAATCTATCATTAATGTGCAGTATTTTAAGTGATTAGTTTTAATATATATATATATATATATATATATAGGGAATGGATCCAATGAGTACACATATTTAAAGTGTGTACGTGAGACCCGATCTCAGCCTTTATTTCTCGCCAAATCTGACGGTCAGTAGCAGCCTGTTAAATATATTTGTTGGTTCGTGGTTTTAGGTTGTCCCGTCTTTTTGAAACTTTCCGTCTTCTCCTAGTTCTTGATGCTATCTGCTCTCTCTCTCATCATTGCAATTTTTCGTTTCCCTATCTCAGCTAATTTTCAGACGCTTCCTCTCATCATCGTCATTTTTCGACGTTTTCTTTCGTCATCGTTTTTCGTTTCCAAAGGTTTGCAGATCCTATTTCCGTTCATCTTTCATCATTTGTTCTTCGGTTTCGGCTTTTGTTTCAGTTATTTTCTAATTTCTCGCAAGTTGGTGAGTATTTTTTTTTTTTTACTTTCCAGTGATGTTTTTTATTTTTTTAGGTTATGTTTGTGGTTGAATATCTTCGCAATACTTGTATTTTTTCTGTATTTGCTGATTTCGTTG